CCACAAGGAAAAACGAGCCGAAGAGGAGTCCGGGGGAGGGAACAGCGGGCCGTAAACAGGGGCACGCACAGGAGGAGGGACCCACAGGCGGGCAGGGGAGAACCAGGAACAAAACCAAGGAGGCGAAGTGCAGGCTGCGGCTGCTGCTGCTGCTGCGGCTGCTGCTCCCTGTCCTCTCCAGGACCTTCAGCTGCACCTCGGCTACCACCGGCACTCCCCAAAACAGCACCCTCAGGACTAGTACCCCCAGAACCAGCACTCCCAAAGTCAGCACCCCCAGAACCAACACTCCCAACACCAATTCCTCCAACACGAGCACTCCCAACATCAACACCTGCAACAATAGCACCCCCAACACCAACACCTCTAACACCTGCACCCCTAGAGCCCACTGCTCCCTGCTGCTGCGGCCGCGGAGTCTGCTGCGGCGACAGTTGCTGCTGCTGAGGCAAGGAGGGAGGCTGCTGAGGTGCCGAGGGTATGAAGGTTGGGGGGGGTGCTACGAGGACAGCAGGCGCGCCCCCAGCAGTTGGGCCCCAGAGTCGGCCAACTCCCCCACGGGCCCAACCGAGAGGAACTGCATGGCGTGGGAGACACCAGACTGGGTCGGGCGGGGTGGGAGGGGTGTGGCAGGTGTGAAAGGGACAAGGAAGAGAGGAGGAGGAGGCACAGGAGCGCTGTAGTGCGGGAAGCGCCGGTAGTAGGGGAGTGCCTCGTCGAAGGTAACGTCACGAGAGTGGTAAAAGCGGTGGTGTGACGGGTGGTAGAGCAGCCAGTCAGGGGCATAAAGCAGAAACCCCAGGAAGACACAAGGAAGGGTGGGGGCTGAGAGCTTGTCTGCGCGAGTGTCGCAGACATGAGCAAGGCTACCCTTGACCGGGAACGTAGACGTGTCATCAGGAGACCCGGTCCAGAGAAGGGCCGGCGAAACCTGTAGCCTCTGGGAGCGGGGGCACTGGTTAGGCTACTGAGCAGCGTAGCGTACAACGAACGGCCATAGAAAATGGGGTGCACCAGCATGGAACATGGAGGTGCGAGCTACCTTCATGACCAGGCCGATGTGTCGCTCAGTGACCCCATTTTGCTGTGGGGAGTCCGACCGTGTGTAGAGTGCCCTTCGCACTACAAAATTGTCCTAGAGTGCCAGAGGCAAACTCGCCAGTACGGTCAGAATGTAAGCGACCTACAGGCAGGCGGTGGTGGGTGCGAATAGCAAGAAGCCACGGGAGGAGAACGGTAGGTACGTCAGCCTTCCTCTCCAATGGGAACACTGAGGTGAAGCGCGAGTAGTCGTCAACGACGACGGGGAAGTAGCCCTCCCGACCAAGACCATGGACCGGGGCAGGGCCCCAGACATCCATGCGCAGTGTCTGTAGCGGCGGTGCGGTAGAAGGAATCGAGGAGGAGTGGGGGGTGGCGCACTGCCAGCCCTCGACGCAAGAGGTGCACAGTTGCACCGTAGACGTAGTGCGGGGAGCGACGCAAGGAGACCTGTGACTAGACAGTGCTTGAACATGTGCCTACTACGCGGGAGGGCTGGGTGACCAAAGCGGTGGTGCCACAAAAGGGTCGGGTGGGTTAGTGAGCAACAGGAGCAAGAGGCGGCAGGCTCAGTAGTCGGTGGGGACTCAGTGTGCAGTGTAAAGAGACCTGATCCTGGGTCACGCTCAAAAGTGGCTAAGTGGCGACTGGTGGCTGTGTGCATGCAAGCGGTGTGTCTCTCGCGGCTAGGGAATGTAGTCTCGGCCCTGGAGGTGACCGACACCCACTAGGTTCCTGGCAAACGAGGGGATGTGTAGATCTGTAAGGGAGGCAGAAGGGTCAGCTGGATAGGGGAGAGTGGTGGTGCTACACGCGACAGCTGTAGCGAAAGAGTCTGCTTGTGCGACGCGGACAGGTGCAGGAAGCGGGGTGAGAGCGGTAATGTCTCTGAAGAAGCAACGAGACGCGCCAGAGTTTAGGAAAAAGGAGAGGGCTGACGTGGCAGGGCCCAGTGAAGAGTCTCTAACCGATCCTATGAGTGACGCAGCAAGGAAGTCTACGCCTGACGCAGCAGGAGATCCGAGACTACACACAACAGTGGCTCCTAGGCTATAAATAGCAGGATAATAAGAACTAGCAATACCAGAAGACAGCAGAATACAGATAATACAAGGCGTGATCGATCTGAATCATATCCATATCAAAGAAAGCAACTGTTGTTGAGCACATCGCAGCCGCCCAATGTTTGATGCTGCTGCTGCCCTTGCTGCTGTTATTGCTGCTGCTGCCACCGCTGTCTTTGCAGCTGCTGCTGAGCACATCGCAACTGTCCATTGTTATCGCCAACATCTTCATAGCGAAGCTGCCTTGGATATCGCAATCAATGCGAACGTGTTTCACCCACTCCCAAACTGCAAGTGGCGTGCCGCCGACCAACCGCGCGTCAATTTCGGGCATGCACCACTCCATTTGCAGCGTGTCGTGTTTTTTGCTATTCTCACATTGAACAAACTGTGTAATGCTCCACCATCCATGAATATTTTTAATCTTGTGTTGCCAACGCGCCCTTCCGCCAGCACAGGGCAGTCAACCGGTTCACTCCCCTTTAACCAGGTGTGGTCGATCGCATGGATCGGCACTAATACTTGGTAGGAATGGTGATCTTTGGGCGACGAAGACTCATCAGTAGGGGGGCTGAGTGCTACTTATGCTGTCCACTTCCCGGCTTCCTTCCGTCGTTAGCTCCCAAAATCCCAAGCTCCGGACAGTCCCGTATGATGTGCCCCGGCTGGCCGCACTTATGACACATGCCATAAAATATGCTATCTGACGTGCTGCCACGCCGTTAATGGATGGGTAAATGCTTTGCCCTTGAAAGCGACTTCCTTCTCGGAAATTCGGCCTCGGCCATACACTGTTATTGTCCCATGCCTCTGCGATTTGCTTTACCTCGAAGAACGTCGTCGGGCGGCGCATGCGAATTTCTCGGTGGACCTCCGTTTTCAGCCGTAGGATGTATAGGCTTATTTTCTCCGTCTCGCGTAGGTCGTCAATTTCGTCGCAGATGGCGAGGAAGGGTGACGTGTACTCTAGAACAGAGCACATTTGACACCACTCGTGTAGCTTCACATGAGCGTTTTCGCATACGGATGCATGCTCGAAACGCTTGCGAAGCAGTGCATCCCACTGTTGCTAGGTAAGGATCTCGGTCACACCAAATAAGGATCATGTAGAATTTGAAGCCCAGTCATTGCTCCCCATCCATCGCCTGTTGCCGGTCTGCCGAAGTCCCTCGTGACGTCACGTACTGTCGCCACTAACTTAATACATGCCCGTGTAATAAAGGCACCGCCAACTTGACGCGTGTCTCATCGTTGTTTATATCAGGGGTTTTGAAGAACAGTTCCATGGCGAACACCCACCGACTCAACGTGGTGTGCTTTTTCATCGGGTTAAACGTTTGGGGCATTGCATGTTTGATATTCACAACTGCTCGTCGCTCACTCGTACTGTCGTTACATATCGCTGACGTCGCCTTCGGTTGATGCGCGCTCGCACGATCTTCTTTCACGGTAACATACGACTCTTGACGCGTCGTACCACGCGCCTGATGAAGGCTCACGTTCGCCACGAAGGCTCACGTTCGTTTCATGTGGCGAGCTCAATTACCATGGCCTCCATCTTCGCCATCATTTCGCCAACCTTTGTCGTTAGCACTGATGCGCTCGCTGCCGCCTCTGATAGCTCACCTATTTGCTCGGGAGTCATATTTGTAGTGCTACGACCAAAAGAGTTATTAACAATGAATTACCCTGACTAGCTAACGCCACTAAAGATACTACTGGCACTTGTAGCGTTAGAGATATGGAGCGCACACGACAAAGTCGGCGGAACTGAATAAGTTCCTGCACGACCGCTGGACAGCTCATGTCTCCTAACGTGCGAGGTCCCTCTAAAAATTACCTCACTACGGAAGCCTAAATGGGCAGGAACGTAGCTCTGATACCAGCTGTTATGATAATCTCTGTATAGGAGTTGAGTAGTGCAATAGTGAGGTCGTGATTAAAGTGTGTCGAATACAAATGAGGCACAGAGCTAAATACAAGCACAGCTAACCTAGCTGGGGAGTCTCGAGAAAGGCCACGAAACACATGCGATGTGGTTTGGGGCGCCTCGGTACTCGGAAGTGTCGGACGCGACGCCGCGTGTAGGCTTGGAGGTCTCGAACTTGGAGATGTCGGGCCGAGCCTGGACTTCCGAAAGTAAGGGCCTTGAACGCAATTTCAACTGAAGTAACCTGGCTCGGAAGTTCTGACAAGTTTTAGGGGTATGCGAAAGTGATCCTCCTTAGTGTGGAATTCGTGAACCTGGAGACTAGACTAAGCGACACAACGACTTGTGCCTGTAACTTTCGCAGTGAATCGTGCACAGTGATTTCGCCCCAGGGCGCGGCAGCTGTGGTCGGTTTTGCACCCACCAAACAAAGACAGCCTTTCGAGTTCTTCGCGCACGGCGTCGTCAATGCTGTCGCGAGACATATTTCCTTGGGGCGATTTTCACGACCAAAACAGTTCGCACCAAAACCCGGCGTCGCCCAAGGGTATTTCTTGTGAATGCTGTGGAATACACATACACCATTTCTTCTATTTAAAACTACTTTTTTGGCACGCGGCTCAAGCCTGTAAACAGGAAATAGTAAAGCACGGGCAAACGGGACTTCGAAGGGGAAATCCCACAGTAAGAAATGACACCTGGTTACAAAATATCGCTCATGCACTATATTAGTTGTCTGCGCGACTTCCCAGCTCTGAAACTCGCAATTGTCGAAATACAACTTGGTAGTTCGCTATCGTTCAGACTGCAGCCAATCAGGTTCAGTGTCAACGCGAGTCATGCTGAGACCTGGTAGGTGAGATTGCAATTTAGACTGTTCCGGGTGAGACAATAGAGGGGAAAAGTAGATGATCAACGGCCCGATTTCAAACAAAGTCTCTTCCGTTCCGAGCGAAACGAACCCCCCTCAGGGAATGGCGAGGGGTAGACACTAGCAGCGAGAAAGAGAGGAGCAGGTGCGGGTGAAAGCAGCGAAGAGCATGAAGGCCGCGTCTTGGGGATGCCGAGAAGGGGACCACTCGGCGGCTGTGCTGGTCATTAGTGTAGGGTGCTCGACACAGGATTATAACCTGCCTCCTTGTTTTTGGGCGCCTCCATCATCGAATGATTCGATCCGACGGCAAGTCTCGTTGTGCCGATGGTTCCAGTCGCAGCAGATTCTCTCGTAAATAGCCGCGATAGCCGTTTTTCGATATCCATTTCCTTGGCGTCCATCACCTCAGGTGCGTCCATGGCAGTGATCGGCGGCAATCAATGCCTCATTCCGAGTGAGCAAATAATAGCAAGGTTAAAGGCGTTTCCAGTAACATTTTGTACAGCAGTATCAGCCTCGACCGGAGTTTCTCACAGCGGAAGACGAAGACCATCATCGCTAGCACGTCGAGACTCGCTTCGAAGCTGCTTCACACCGTCGACGAGAGCTCGTGAATTTCGCAAGCGGCTTTTCGCCGTTCGCTCGCAACTTCTCGCCGTCGCGGTGCTCGCGCTCGGCGCGTTTCCTCCCGTCAACTCACAGGCATCGTCTCCCGACCGTATGTAAAGGCGACTGTTTCGATTGCTCTGGGCTTTTACGATCGTTTGTTTTTTCTCCGAAGTAGGATGCGGCGAGATAGTCGGTTGTGTGTGGATACAGAGCAGGTGGTTCAAGAGCCGGCGAGCATCTAAATTCAGCCGACTTGAAGACTCTGTCAGCCGTCTTGACGACTCTGTCAGCCGTCTTGACGACTCTGTCAGCCGTCTTGACGACTCTGTCAGCCGACTTGACGACTCTGTCAGCCGTCTTGACGACTCTGTCAGCCGTCTTGACGACTCTGTCTGTCAGCCGTCTTGACGACTCTGTCTGTCAGCCGTCTTGACGACTCAGGTCTGTCAGCCGTCCTGACGACTCATTTAATATCCCCAGCTTCTCATTTCAGACTGCACCTATGACGATACTAATTTCTTACACATACTGTTGATACCTTATAACTTGCAACGAGCCGCTGAGCCACCATATGAGCGGTAGAGCTGGGATTCGCGCAGCAGCATCTCGAAACCAATGGAGAACCCCCGAACCCGAACCCGAACCCCAACCCGGGGCCGAATCCTTACCCAAGACCAAACCCGAACCCGAACCCCAACCCGGGGCCGAATCCGTACCCAAAACCGAACCCCCAAACCCGAACCCGAACCCGAGCCACTCATAATCGTGGGTCTGTAATTCATCAGGCGAACCTGAACCCTGACTTTTCACGGTGGTGTGCTTCCATTCCACGGTTGTTTTCATCGGAGCCATGCCTCCTCCACCCAACCCACGCTGCTCTCACAGCCTTCCCGCATGCTCCCCGCCTCCAGGCATGCGCCTCGCCTCACTGTGGCCACTGTTTGGGTTCCAGACTCGTGTAACTCTAGCTGCAACTATTACACTACTTCCCTTCGCCCTTCACCCGCTTCCAAACCTTCCCAATCACAGGCTCTCGCCGCCCTCGGCCGCAGTCCGGGTCCCAGCAGGGTGCTCATTTGGCCGTTTCCTATTTTCAACCCTCAGGGTCCTTCCGCCCTCCACCCCTTCTTAATCGCGTCGAAGCCATGTCTCTGGCCGTGCTGGGGCCCCAGTTAAAATCCAAGACTCCCTGTTAAGATCCGGGAGGCTCTTGCATCGATTTACCCTTCCTGTCTTCGCCCTCATCTTCCCCCCACGCCCTCCTCTTTTTTCCCAATCTGCTGCACCAATCACAGGCGTGTTTCTCACCCCGCCGGACCGCAGTTCGGACCCCTGCAATCTCGTAACTTTCCTGCCTTTAACCCCCAGCCAGCTTCTACTCACGCTGCGCACTCTTTTCTCTCTTCCCCATCTGTATCGATCGCAGGTGTTGCTCTCGCCGCGCTCGGCCGCAGTCTGGATCCCAGCAGTGTGCTCGTGTGGGCGTCGCCGCTGCTGTGTTCCGGATGGACCAACTTCACGTGCTTAGACAACACCACTATAACGGGGATGTGAGTGTAGATAATTTACCCATATTTTTAGCCAGCGATGAGCGTTCACAAAGTGAAATTGCACGTGGTTGTTGGATTTCCCGTGAGTCACTGACACTGAATTCTGGACTGGCTAGCAGCTTGGCTGATTCTGTGCGTTTCCTTCAGTGAACGCTCCTCCTTTTTCTCTTTTTTCTCCTCCTCCTCCTCCTCCTCCTCCTCCTCCTCCTCCTCCTCCTCCTCCTCCTCCTCCTCCTCCTCCTCCTCCTCCTCCTCCTCCTCCTCCTCCGCCCCCTGCTCGTGTTTCACGCCGCTCGTCCTTTCCAGCAATCTGCTGTACCTTTCCATCCACTCTGCTGCTCCTCTTTGTGTCTTATCCGCTGTTTGCTTGCCTCCCCCCTTCTGCCTGTCTCCTCCCTTCTGCCTTCCTCGCCCCTTTCTGCTCGCCCCGTGCAGCAACCTAGTGAACATGCCGCTCACTGCCTCCCTGCCCTCTGCACCAGATTGCATAAGTGCCTGCCTCCTGCCCTCTGCTCTTCCCCTTCTGTCTGCCCTCCCCTCTGCTCGCCCTGTGTGCAGCAATCTGGTGAACATGCCCCTATCTGGCTCCCTCCCTGCCGACATCTCCCGATTCAAAAGCCTCCAACTCCTGTCAGTTGCCCCACCCTGAGTGCCCTTGTTTTACAAGCGTAACTCACTGCCTCCCTCTCACTTGCACCGCTCTCCCTCTTGCTTCCTTCCACCCCTCTTCCTGCCACTTGCACTCACTGGCTGTCATCCCTCCGTCCGACCAGGCACGATCCATGGTTTCGAGATGCTGATGGTCATGCTGATGGTCACCTGTAGCTCATGTTTGGCAACAGTCGTTGAGGGGGCGCAGTGTGGCTCTATAACTGCTGTTTTGAGGATTCTAGAAAAGCAGCTTCACCTGTGGCTCATGTTAGTAGCAGCTGTTGAGCTGAGAGGAATGCGGCAGCAAGCTTTCAGCATGTGCGCATTCCGTAGGGAAGTGAAACTTGCGCTTGACCAGAGCAAAACTTGCATGGAGTTGAATTGATGGATGGTCCACCACCACACGTTTTCACAGTGAAAATCTCACTCGTCGTGCGACTTGATGAGTGTATCATGTATGCACCCCTCTGCCTGCCGTATGTATGCTTATTTGTGCACCTTTTTCCTTTGGCTGGTTGGTTTGTTACCTGTGCTGCTGCTGGCAGGGTGATCCGCTATAGCAACATCTCAGGCGTGCTGCCTGATGCCATCACGACCCTGACACACCTCAAATACCTGTGAGTACTATCCGCTTTTCTCCTCAACCCCCTAGCAAACCCTAAGCACCTGTGAGTGGTCAAGAGGACTCTGAGCATGAGCTGGTGGCAGAGGGGCGGAGAGCATGCTTCACTCGGTGTCTCCCATGCCTAATGCACAAACCGAGGTGACTTTTGAGCCGACTCAATGGTCGCTCCGAGTCCCGATTATGCTATGAGCCCCTCGCACAGCTGGTAGCAGAGAGGCTGTTTGAGTGAGCAGAAGGGCTTGCTTGACTCCCTGTCATGTGAGTGAGAAAGGGGAACTTGCTTTACTCTGTGTCTCCCATGTCGAATGCACGTTGTGCCCATGTGCCTCCCATACTAATGCACGTACTGCCCATGTGTCTCCCCCCCATGGCCCCTCTGCCAGGGACCTGAGCTACAATCAAATCTGGCCGCCTTTGCCACCAGCCCTCTTCACAATGCCAAAGCTGCGCACCCTGTAAGAAAGCGTATGGTCTTGTAAGAAGGCGTGGGGTTCAATCCCCCTCTGGGTTTGAGGAGCCACAAATCTGGTCAGGCAGCATATGGCTCTATCGCCCGCTGGTCATACGGCCACATCCGTGTCTAACCTGCTGGTTTTATTGCCCGCTAGTCTGCTGCTTTCCAATGCCTCACAACATGAGTGCGATGGCACGCTGCAACATGCATGCCTCACCCAGAATGCACCCCACATGCATGCCTCACCCAGAACGAACCCTGGACAGTGGACACCATTTCTTCTTCTCTACCCGCTTGCTGTCTTTCACACCCCTCTCCCTGCCGTCCCCCCCATGTGCAGGCTGCTGGGCAACAACTGGCTCACCAACCAGACAGTGCCCCTATGTGCAGCTGTGTAGCCTAAACCACTTGCTGCTGCTCACCCCTCTGCTGCACCCTCTGCTGCCCCCTGTGCCGCCCCCTGTGCTGCCCTCTCTGCTGGCCCCCCCATGTGCAGGCTGCTGGGAAACAACTGGCTCACCAACCAGACAGTGCCCCTATGTGCAACTGTGTAGCTTAACCCTCTTGCTGCTTCTCGCCCCTCTGCTGCCCCCTCTGCTGCCCCCTCTGCCACCCCCCCTTTGCAGGCTGCTGGGCAACAACTGGCTCACCAACCAGACGGTGCCCAACCTGGCCAAGGCGCCCTCTTCCCTGGAATTTGTCTCACTGCGCTCTGACGGTGCTGTGGTCGACAGCGCATCCAGCGTGGGAAAGGGCACTCTTGAGTACGTTGACTCGGCATTCCTAGCTTCTATCCAGGGTTTTTGTCTCGCTTCGCACCAACGATGCTGCGGTTGTCAGCTCATTGGCCGTGGGAAATGGTGCTCCTGAATCCGTCCAGGTCTGGGTGTCGCTGCGGGCACCGCACCTATCATGGGAAGGGACTCTCTTTAGTGCGTTGACGACCGTTTGCTTGCGTGTTGTAGTCATTCTCGCTCTTTCAATCCTCTTCTACTTTTAACCACTGCCCCACCCACCCACCCCCTCAGCTATTGGCTCTTTCTCTCCTAAGGGGGAAGGAGTCGACTGGGATGGTGCTTTTGAACTGTGATATTGCCATAGGCCTTGTTGTTGAGCTTAGGATGCATTTGCTCTGGTTGGATTATATATCGAATAGGGTATATAGGGTTATATGGCATAGTAGACTAGGGTGTGGATGAGCAAAACCGGGTAGATACCTGACCCGACCCGGTTTTGCCATACCCGACCCGGTTTAGGCTAAAAGCGGGTATTGCTACCCGCCCCTGAAAAAATGACTGAACAACCTCTGTTTTATCCTGTGTTGCCATTGGTGTGTTTGTCATGGTGGCCCCGCGGGCATCGACAGCGTGAACTTTAAAAAACAAACCTAAACCCGGTTGCACTGCGTTTTTGCCAGCATGAGAGGGGCGGTACCCGAAGTCGGGTATTCAATACCTGGCGGGTGGGGTACCCGTTACCTGACATGTCGGGTAAGATTTCGGGCAACGGGTATCGAATACCCGCCTGGGTAACCCGGACCCGACCCGCCGGGTACTATTCGGGAATCCTGATACCCGACCCACCCTAAAAGCGGATCCGGGTCCGGGTACCCGCCCCGCGCGGGTATTTTGCATGTAGGGTTATAGGGAATAGGGTTATATAGGGTTATAGGGTACTGTAGACTTCATGGTTGTGGATTATTTCGAGTTAGGGTGCCCCTAACTAAGTGCTTAGATAGAAGGGAGGCGCCCAAGGACCGGGAGTGGGGCGCCTCCAAACATTCGGGACGTGGTTCGAGCCCTCCAACCATGTTTCCAACACTTGGAAACGCGGTTCCAGCTGGTGGAACCACTGTTCCCTTAATGAGGGCACCTCTAAGCCCAAACTCAGGGTGCTCGACTACCCATTTTGGACCATGGGCGCCTTGAGCACCCAAAGCACCCAAATACATTGGGTCCCCACATGCTCACCTCCAGTCACCCATCAAGCCAACCTTTCCCGTTTCACCTCCTCACCTTCACTCACTCCTTCACTTTCTAGTCTTCTAGAGGTTCTAGGGCTCTAAGGATTTTACCATGGCTGTCGCCTTGTTCTTTCAGCTTTAGTGCACTCATGCTACCTTCCTTGCCCATTTCATGGGCATCCCTTTTTACAGGCCTGTCTTTGAGGCGCCTCAAAAATAAGGGGCAAGGAGTGGACTGGGACGGTACTTTTTATCTGTGATATTGCCGTAGGCCTGCCTGCCCCTCAAACACTCTCTCCTCCACCACCGGCCAGTTCACCTCTCCCTGTGCCTGTCTCCCCTTGCCACCTTGCCTGCCTCCCTCCCCCATCCACCCCTTCCTGTACGGCAACGGTCAGATCTGTGACATCGCCAGGGGCCTGCCCCTCTCAACCTCTCCTCCTCCAGTGGCCAGTTCGACTCCATCTGCGCCTATCTCATCATTCCCTCCTTCCCCATCCTTGCTTCCCCATCCTTGCTTCCCCATCCTTGCTTCCCCATCCTTGCTTCCCCATCCTTGCTTCCCCATCCTTGCTTCCCCATCCTTGCTTCCCCATCCTTGCTTCCCCATCCTTGCTTCCCCATCCTTGCTTCCCCATCCTTGCTTCCCCATCCTTGCTTCCCCATCCTTGCTTCCCCATCCTTGCTTCCCCATCCTTGCTTCCCCATCCTTGCTTCCCCATCCTTGCTTCCCCATCCTTGCTTCCCCATCCCAGCCTCTACGGCAACACTCAGATCTGTGACATCGACACAGGCCTCCCTCTCAACCTCACCTCCTCCAGTGGCCAGTTCAACAACTCCTGCACCTGGACCTCCGCCCCCTTCTGCATCTCCCACGACTGCCCCCCCACCAAGTACAAGGACCTCCCAGCCTTCCTCAATGCCTACCCGCCCTCCTACTGCAAGCCCAATTCGGGCCCCATGAAAGGGCCTCTTTTCCCCGAGTCTCTTGCTGGCAGGGGTTCTGCCACGGCAGTTGTGGTGCCAACGGGTCCCGGGGCGTGTGTGTGCGTGGGGCAGCAGTACTGTGAGTTTGACCTGGTGTGCAGCAACAGCAGCATCCAGAGCTGGAACAACGACTACTCGCAAGTAGTGGCCCAGAAGCTGTCTCAAGCGATTACCATCAAGCTTGGGAAATGCGTTTCGCCGGAACAGGTGGGTGGTGTGAAATGGCGGAGAGGGGATCACATCACAGGGACGAATTGGTCTTAGAGAACTCTAAAAAACCAATTCAATTTTTGAGAATTCTCAAAACCCAATTCAACTCAGGTGGGTGGATTTGGAATGGCAGAGAGGGGATCACAGGGAATCACCTCCACCCTCGGGAGATTCATCGCTCCGGAAGGTGGGTGAGGGGGTGTGAAGGTGGGTAAGGGGGTGTGAAGGTGGGTGAGGGGGTGTGAAGGGCCACAGGTGGCTTTGGGGAATCGCTCCGGAGCATGTGGTAGGTGTGAAATGGTGGAAAGGGGATCTCAGCGGCTCCACCACCACCAAGCTTGCCAAATTCGTTTCGCTAGAACAGAGGGGATTACATGGGTTCAAACTTGCCAAAGGCCTTTCTATTGACACGTCTGTAGTTAACAAGTGTTGAAGAAGAGCTTTGACCAGAGTTTTCCATTCTGCCCCGTTGCCTAGGATGCCGTTCCCCCGGTGTGGTTGGGCAAAAGGAGATTGCTGAGTTGACTAAAAAGTCACACGTCACATGCTTAACCCCAACTCGCTCTGTCTGTCCCCTCACCCTGCATACCTATTCCTACGCAGTATGCGTATGTGATAATGTGAGTGACTGGTGCCTGGACCTGACGTTTATGCTGACGTTTACGCTGTTTTACCTTTACAAACACTTGCCTAGTTTTGGACTTGCATTTACTGTCAGCTTGGACCGTTTTTGGGCTGCCTGGGAAAAGTACCTTGGTCGGTGTTAGGGGGATGCCTCGTGTAGACAGGTTCACGTATACTAAAATACGTACCAACAATAAGAAGAGCTCACGAGAACATCGTAATTCATTACACCTGTACCCCTCTTCTCTTCCTACCCCTGCTCCTCAACCTCGTCCCCCTTTGTCGTTTTCCTGTTTCTCCTCTTTTTTCCTTCTTAAATCAGAGGCAAAACCAACTTCAATGATTGTTTTCCTATTTTGTTTTGCGTTCGTTCGTTTGTTTGTTTGTTTGTTTTTTTTTTTTTTTCCCCGATTAAAGGAAAAAAACACTTCAATTTTTGTTTTCCTTCCGCGTGCCACAGACAGAAAAACGCGTGACTTACCTTTTAGCAAAAAAAAATATTAACGAGTTATTTACGTTTACTCTAGCCCCTATTGGCCAATTTAGGCCTGGACGACACGAGCACACACGTGTTTGCCTCGATGTGGTGCTCTTAGCCTCATGCCGGGGCTATATTTCCTTGTGGTCCGCATGCCCCCTCTCACGTGTGGTTGTGGAATGCCTATGTGAATGACTGGCAAATGAGCAACACGAGCACACCTGTGTTTGGCATGTGCCCTACGTGTTTCTCTCTGGGAACTACAGCTTCTTCGAGGCTATCCTCACTAACTCTCTCCCTCTCTCATGCACCAATCCCTGTGCACAGGTGTGCGTGTGGAATGCATCTGTTACTGTCTGGCGGCTGGACAGCAGCAGCATGCCTGTGCTTGACCAGCGCCTCGCTTCTACGTGGTGCTCGTTGCCTCTAGCCTGGTGCTTCATTCACTCCCCTGTGCCCTGCGCGCATCTCCCAGGTGTGGGTGCGGCACGCCTATGTGAGCGACTGGCGCCTGGACAGCACGAGCACGCCTCTGTTTGACATGCGCCTCTATGTGGTGCTCTTTGGGAACTTCACCAGCGACGATGAGGTGCTCGTGCAGACAGTCATTGTGCAGAACAAGGGCATTCTGGAGGACCCTAAGTTTGGCCGGCTCGACCTGCTGGGTATGTGCTCACACATGCACGAGGTGAAGGTGGCGGGTCGTGTATTCGGATTCACCACCGATGATGCAGAAGTTCCACGTGGCATTGTATCGAGGTGACTATTGAGTCGACTAAAAAGGTGGCGGGTCGTGTATTCGGATTCACCACGGATGATGCAGGCTGTCAAGGTGCAGAACTAGGGCATTCTTGATGACTCAAAAGTGACTTCTGAGTCGACTCAAAAGTCACCATGGGTCTGCCGGGGCTTGGGTGTGTGCTGCATCGATGGCTTCACTTCGCGTGCGTCAACGCTGACGTGACGTGAAGTGCATTTGTTTGGCAGCGTTGGAGAGCAACACGGACCAGCGCTGCCGGAAGTGGGAGGCGACCTTCTTGGTCGGAACTCTGAAGCGGTTCCCCTTTTTCCCCTTTTTCCCCTTTTTCCCCCTTTCCCCCTTTTTCCCCTTTTTCCCCTTTTTCCCATTTTTCCCCTTTTTCCCCCTTTTCCCCCTTTTCCCCTTTTCCCCCTTTTCCCCTTTTTCCCCCTTTTCCCCTTTTCCCCCTTTTTCCCCTTTTCCCCCTTTTCCCCTTTTTCCCCCTTTTCCCCCTTTTCCCCTTTTTCCCCTTTTTCCCCCTTTCCCCCTTTTTCCCCTTTTTCCCCCTTTTCCCCTTTTTCCCCTTTTTCCCCTTTTTTCCCTTTTTCCCCTTTTTCCCCTTTTTCCCCCTTTTCCCCCTTTTCTCCTTTTTCCCCTTTTTCCCCTTTTCCCCCTCTTTCCCCTTTTTCCCCTTTTCCCCCTTTTTCCCCTTTTTCCCCCTTTTCTCCCTTTTCCCCTGTTTCTCTTCCCTGCCCCTCATTTCCCCCTCGTGTCCACCCTCCCATCCCCATCTCCTCTATCTCTGCCTGCTGCTGCCCCCCCTTCAGCTCATGAGGATCAGGCTCAGCCTCCAACAACTCTGCGTAAGTCGCTCACCTGCAATTTGCTCTTCCTCACTCTATTGAAAATTCGTCCATCCATCCATCCATCCATCCATCCATCCATCCATCCATCCATCCATCCATCCATCCATCCATCCATCCATCCATCCATCCATCCATCTCAACCCCACATTGTGCCGGTCAATGCCTTATTGTGTTTGCCAGTGTTAGTTCGTGCATAATAGCTGTTACCTTGGATGCCTTTTTGCATCGTGCACAAACTGGCATATCCTCCATCTGTGGTTTCTGTGTGCATGTGTATGTCTGCCAGCCAATTCAGCTCCTGACGTGTCAACAAATGCGACGGCCCCTCCTTCACCAGCCCCCTCCTCCTCTGACTCCACCTCCGGTCTGTCCACTGGAGCTATCATCGGCATTGTGGCAGCAGCCGTCCTGCTGCTGCTTCTCCTGCTTGGCTCTGTTTGGTGGATTGTTGCACGCACCCAAGCATCTGCCTCAGGTCAAAATCACACATGCCCGCCTTTTCGAGTGAATGGTGGACTTAAGCACCACATTCTAGAGAGCAGTTGCACCTCGGCCGCATAAATATGTCCTAGCTTTACGAGAAAATCAGTTTCTCGTATGCAATATTTCCTATATGTGGTTTGCTTATACCTCCTCTCTGCCCCACCCCGCCCTCCCCCCTCCCCGCACGCATGATCCTTCATGCAGCATCATCTGCCCCCAGCTTGCCATGCCAGCAGTACTCCCTGGCCCTTGTGGCCCGTGCCACAGGCAACTGGTCGAAAGAAAACCTGCTAGGGTCGGGCGCCTATGGCGACGTGTACCACGGGGTGTGCCCTGATGATGACACCACGGTGTGGGCCGTGAAGCGAGCCAAAGTCATCACCACCGACTTCCGTAAAGAGGTGGCATAGGTTTTGCTAACATCATTAAGAACTTATCCGTTGAATTGTTTTATTCCTGTACGCTCTCGCTACGTGCTCTCTGCGGTGAAGCGAGCCAAAACCATCACCGCCGACTTCTGCAAAGAGGCGCACGTGGGTGGGAGGGATGGGCCGGGCAGTAGCAGGGTGGGGAGTGGCGGGTCGAGTGGTTGGAGGGTGGGGATGTGGTTGAAGCAGGGGTGTGGCATGAGGTTGGAGCATTCAGTGTCTACGCGAGTGTTCGACTTTGGTTGAACTGAAGACGTTGGGAAATTATTGGACAGGTTCCATTTTTTGCTGAACGCTCTCTCTTCGTGCTCTCCACTCCTTTGCTCCCCACAGGTGGCTCAGATGGCGACAAAGCACCATCCCAACCTGGTGCGGCTGTTGGGGTTTGCAGTGGGTGGCGATGTGAACACGCGGGTGGAGAATGTTCTCATCTACGAGTTCATTGTCAATGGCGACCTTCAGAGGTGGATCGGCCAAGGTATAATTCGAGAGATTCAGTTGCGTCAACCATTCTTGCTTCAGCACAATTCGACTAGGGTCGAGTTGCCTCTTGTGTCAAGTTGAGTCGAATCGGACTTTTGCTCCAGCTAGATAGAGGCCTTGATTTCGTGCTGACTCAACACGAATCAGGGCTGACTCGAGGAGAGTGGGTTGACTCGCAGGCCAGGGATGACTCGACCTGTGAAGGGGGCTTTAGGGAGCCCCTGTGAGTTCTCCTTGCACCGCAACCCAAATGAAGCCATGCCTCAGCCACATACCATCCTCCAACACAAAATCATGCATCATCAAACTAAGTTTGATCTCAAAAAATATAATCCTCCATAACCTAAGATTACGTCAACTAAGTTGAGGAGGCTTAGAGGCTGGGGAGGCTGTGAGTGAGGTGCTTGCTTAGGCTGTAACAAAAAGGCACTAGTAGCTAATCTAGAAATTGTGCAATCTGCCAGTTTTTTTTTTTTGTTTTCTTCTTCTTCTTCTTCTTCTTCTTCTTCTTCTTCTTCTTCTTCTTCTTCTTCTTCTTCTTCTTCTTCTTCTTCTTCTTCTTCTTCTTCTTCTTCCTCCTCCTCCTCCTCCTCCTCCTCCTCCTCCTCCTCCTCCTCCTCCTCCTCCTCCTCCTCCTCCTCCTCCTCCTCCTCCTCCTCCTCCTCCTCCTCCTCTCCTCCTCCTCCTCCTCCTCCTCCTCCTCCTCCTCCTCCTCCTCCTCCTCCTCCCTCCTCCTCCTCCTCCTCCCCCCCCCCTCCTCCTCCTCCTCCTCCTCCTCCTCCTCCTCCTCCTCCTCCTCCTCCTCCTCCTCCTCCTCCTCCTCCTCCTCCTCCTCCTCCTCCTCCTCCTCCTCCTCCTCCTCCTCCTCCTCCTCCTCCTCCTCCTCCCCCCCCCCTCCTCCTCCTCCTCCTCCTCCTCCTCCTCCTCCTCCTCCTCCTCCTCCTCCTCCTCCCTCCTCCTCCTCCTCCTCCTCCTCCTCCTCCTCCTCCCTCCTCCTCCTCCTCCTCCTCCTCCTCCTCCTCCTCCTCCTCCTCCTCCTCCTCCTCCCTCCTCCTCCTCCTCCTCCTCCTCCTCCTCCTCCTCCTCCTCCTCCTCCTCCTCCTCCTCCTCCTCCTCCTCCTCCTCCTCCTCCTCCTCCTCCTCCTCCTCCTCCTCCTCCTCCTCCTCCTCCTCCTCCTCCTCCTCCTCCTCCTCCTCCTCCTCCTCCTCCTCCTCCTCCTCCTCCTTCTTCTTCTTCTTCTTCTTCTTCTTCTTCTTCTTCTTCTTCTTCTTCTTCTTCTTCTTCTTCTTCTTCTTCTTCTTCTTCTTCTTCTTCTCTTAAGGAGCAGCTTACTCGCTCTGAGTTAACCTGGCTGGATTTGAGGCTTGAGCACTCGTGGAATCAAGCTGAATCGCTGAGCCTCGTGACGATTCATCGTTGATTTGCCTCAAGTCGAGTTGGCAACTTGAGTCTGGAGTCGACTCGCATCATGTATCCCTCTGTCTACTTTGAAATCCGGCCTCTTCAATGTAGCGTTGCCTTTTTTTTGTCGTTATCCAGATGCCCCCACTTGTCTGACATTGCTGCAGCGGATGGACATTCTGATAGGGGCTGCACGCGGCTTGGAGTATCTTCACAGCTTTGGCATCGTGCATCGCGACATCAAGCCAGCCAACATCCTCATCGGTGCACAGATGCAGGTGGGGGGCTGTGTTATCCACACAAAAACATATCTCGTCTGAACCCATCAAGAGCGAAAATCAATCGCATGTTTTCTACTTGTGTGGGCATGTGGGGGATGGATGTACTTGCGCAAAATAGATGCCTAAACAAAATCAAAATTGTGGCCACATTTGCAAGGCGCATCCCTCATGCCACTCTAGGAGCACAAGTTTGCGTGTTGCGAGTTCAGTGCCCCTGGGGGCTTGTTTGTGCCATCCCCGAGCTTAGTTGCTACAAACGCTCTGGGAGACAAGCGTTTGGCGTTCAAACGCTAGCGTTTGAACGCAAACGCCAAACGCACCCAAAAACGCAAACGCTCTCTGGGATTTTTTTCGGGTTCCCCCCCCAAAAAAAACACGAGACTGTCCTTGGAGAATAGCCTTAAGGATAGGTGATTTACATGACATATGAGGATGCTGGCTTAAATGTTAAGCACGGTTCTTTTTTATGAGACAAAATGCTTGCTGGTAGAACCCCCATGTTTCCCCCCTCCCCCACAGGAATCTTGAACCCCTGCCCGGGTAAAAATTTTACCCCTGCCCGGGCAAGCGTTTGCCTAGCGTTCACATACACGCTGCCGAGCGTTTAGCGTTCAAACGCTAGCGTTTAAACGCTAGCGTTCAAACGCCAAACGCGTTTGTAGCAACTAAGTCCCCGAGTCCTTGTGGTCTACAAGCCACTTAGCCCCGTGTAGTTGATGAATCTTTCACGCCGGAGGCCAGCATGACAGTCGCACCCGACTCAGCCCCCTGAGCGGAGCGGGCGTGGCAGTGACGATGGGTTTTGTGACGATGGATTTTGTGACGATGGGTTTTGTGACGATGGGTTTTGTGACGATGGGTTTTGTGACGATGGGTTTTGTGACGATGGGTTTTGTGACGATGGGTTTTGTGACGATGGGTTTTGTGACGATGGGTTTTGTGACGATGGGTTTTGTGACGATGGGTTTTGTGACGATGGATTTTGTGACGATGGATTTTGTGATGTGGCTGCAGGTAGAGCAATTTGAACGACAAGACGCTGGTCGTCGACGACCAGCTAACGAAAATGATGCACTTGGCAGCATGCAAGCAACTAAATCTCCGAAGAAGAAACTGCTTGCCTCATCATCTCCACCGACGTCCGCCTACACAAAAACTGGCTGCAATCATGAGCAACCATGATTTGAAATCCACCAATAACAATTCGGAAGCACTTGTGGGATGAATTCAGCACTCGACAACAGTTCTGCTTGCCTATTACCCCGAAACAGACAGACGGGCTGAGCGAATGAATCAAGACCATGGAACGATTGATTCGCTGCCACGTATGACGCGACGTCCCAACTCTCAGGGATGAACTGACACCGCTGCTCTAGTTCGCCTACAATGACTCCTCATCCGCCACAATGCATCAGCTGCCAATTTACTTGAACTACAGCCAAGACCCAACAGTTACAGTGTCTGGCGGCTCGGCTGGGCTGGGGAGGGCGAGTTACATGTGGCTTCGCCTTTCCAGTTACGAAATTTCCGACGCGTCGGAGCTCGGTAAATTGATGAAAACGTTCTTATGGCCTACGAGCCCCTCCTGGCCTACGAGTTCTTGAAGTCTACGAGCCCCTCCTGGCCTCTCATGAGCCTGCTAAGGGCTCGTCATGGGGTCCTCTTGAGCCACTCATATGCCTGCCACCACATACAAGTAACACGGAAGGAAACGTAAGATAGGAATAGTTAACCCTCGCACTCGAATTTCTTCCACCTACTCAGAGGAGTACGAAAAGGCGGTAGGTTGACGTCAGTGTGGTACTATTTTGCAGCAACACGTCCTCGTGAGCACAACCAACTTGGCTGAGTATTCAGCAGTAAATCAACAAATACCCACGGGGGTCCCATCGGCACGATTGCGAGGGTGTTATTGTTTTTTGTTGCTCTCACAAGGCACATGGCACACCGTAGTTGCCTGTTGCTTCTTTACTTTTCTTCCCTTGCTGGTCGACCCCAGGCCAAGGTAGCAGACTTTGAACTTGAGCACGTGGGAAAGGGCTCTGCTATATTGATCAAGGCCTCTAGCAAGCCTTGTTCTTAGCTGGCAGAAGAATTATAACAGAGAGGTTAGAGAGGTTTTTGCTAGACAAGGTCTTCAGCTCTTCAGCTTGTTGCCCTTGTTGCTCCTCCCGATGCGTGAGTACCCCTGCGCCCTCACTTCAGTGTATCGCCCGTTGCGTTCCCTTGCTCCTCCTCACCAGGCCAAAGTGGCAGATTTCGGCCTGGTGCACGTGGGGGAGGGCAGTGCAGTTGGGACCACGCGTGTGCTTGGCACGGCGGGCTATGTGGACCCCGCGTACTCCAGAACACACAAGGCCACCACCGCTGCTGATGTGTACAGGTGCCCTGCTGAGGTCTGCTGCTGTGTTGCTGGTGTGTGTTGAAGTGATGCTGATGTGGGCAGGTGATATGCTGATGTGTACTGGTCTGACGCTGATGAAAAGGGTGAGTTGCTGACGTGTAGGCGTGCTATGTTGGTGTGTCATTGATGATTTGTGGGGCTGTGATACCCTGTCAGCTCCAATGTAGGCTCAGAGCTAATCAGTAGAGCCTAGGAGGCGTCCAGAGCTGCAGAATAGGACTTCAAAACGCTGTGTTGATAGGGCTAGTAAAGAAGCAAGGGAGGGACAAGAAAGAAATTTGAAGTTGAAACTCAGCTTTTGAAACGCAGCATGTACTCACAGAAGCGTGTCACATGGAATGAATGGTTACGCCAATGACGCTCAACTAAGGCTTAACCCTATCATAAAGCAGAAAACACTGCTTCTGAAGAATGACGGGAGGACCAATGCACGACTGCTTTTGACCCGCTGTGCATCCTTCCCTCTCGTTTGTAGGACGAGCCCAAGCTGTATTTCTCCCTCCCCCCCTCCCCCTCCCCCCCCATGTCAAAATCTGCGCCATGCATTCTCCCTTGACCCGTGTGCACAACCTTGCTTCCTTCCTTCAGCTTCGGCGTCCTCATGCTGGTGGTGCTGTCAGGCAGAGGAGCCTCCATCACTGAGCTGAACCCGGGCAGTGAGACAGACAACTTTGGCAACGAGGAGCCAATTTCCATTTCCAAATGGGTGTGTACCTCAATCCGTCTCTTGTCAAACTTTCTCTATCAAGTGGGATTCCAACTGCAATATTTTGCACTTGTCATATTTTCCTTCCATATTTGGCTCCCACCCACCGTGTGTGTGTCGTGTCCCCCCGCCTACAGGCAAGTGGTCTCATGGCGGATGGAAAGACATCAGTGCTCAGAGACCCCCGCATGGCAGCACCTGATGGCATCATCAAGCGCATTGCCCAGCTGGCTGTGAGCTGCACCGCCATGCCAACTGCCGCCCGCCCCTCCATGCTACGAGTAGCCCAAGACCTGGAGGCCGTGAGGGAGGAGGTGGGAGGGGGGGATGTGAGAGCACGAGCTGCAACGAGGGTTGATGAGATCATGGGGAGTCAGCAACCGGTGAGGAGCATGGAGGAGGATCTTACCTTGCTGGCCCAACAGGTCTCCAACCAGAGCAGGAACTATAGCTAGTGCTGCGATGCGAGCCATACGTGGAGACACAGCACAGGTTTCAGTGCGTAAGTTACCGGATAAGGGAGTGGCTTAGGAGTCCATGATTGTGTTGAGAGGATTGATCATATAGCACCGCCTTGCCTAAGCTATAGAACGCCATACTACTGTGATCCCCTGGATATTTATCCTTACCTACATGTGCTTTGGGTACAGTACCAAAGACAAGTGAGGGGCATGGAATATTGCTGCTCGTGGCCCGGATTACACATGGGGAATTGTTTTGTAGCACAGAAATGTACTCCCAATCAGCATTTCTTTCTCATGCATAAGCTACTTTCAACCACCATGCCTCCTCATCACTCAAAACATCAGCTGTAATTCCTGCTCTGATCACCCAACTGCTGCACCACCAAGGCAAAATCATCCTCCAAGCTCCCCACAGGCTACTGTCTCGCAAATATCTCATCAACCCTCTCTGCAAGGCTCGATGCTTCAGCCGAAATTCCTGCTCTAATCAGCCAACTGCTGCACCACCAAGGCAAGATCCTCTTCCATGCTCCTCACAGGCTGCTGTCCCACAATAATCTCATCAACTCTCGCAGCAGCTCTTGCCCTTGCATCCCCCCCTCCCACCTCCTCCCTCACGGCCTCCAGGTCTTGGACCACTCGTAGCATGGAGGGGCGAGAGGCAGTGGGCATGGCAGTGCAGCTCACAGCCAGCTGGGCAATGCGCTTGATGATGCCATCAGGTGCTGCCATTCGGGGGTCTCTGAGCACTGATGTCTTTCCATCCGCCATGAGATCAGCTGCCAGTTGGTTGAGGAGAAAAGGCACAAGTGGTGGGCACTCTATAGAGACAATGGTTTTATAATAACTGCAAATGTAAACTACCTCAGGATGACACCCTAAAGGGACAGATTGGCAAGAGCACACGTGAGGTACACACCCATTTGGAAATGGGAATTGGTTCGTGTTCGCCAAAATTGTCTAGCGCTCCACTCCGGTTCAGCTCAGTGACGGTGGCTCCTCTGCTTGACAGCAGCACCAGCATGAGAACACCGAAGCTGGAGGAAGGAGATAAGGCAGTGCAAACAAATAAAGGGAGAATGAACTGAGCTGGTATTGACATGCGGGTGAAGAGAATGTATAGGTTCGTTTAACGCATGAAAGAAAGACATGCATAGCAGGCTAAATCGTTGTACATTCGTCCTTTGCTCCCTTTCTGTGGGTCTAATTTTTTCTCCTATTTAAAGCTTGCACTTGGATACTTGAAAAGCAAGGGCCTAATAATGGCCGCAATCTTTATTTCCTGAATTGGTCCCTCAATGTGGGTTTCTAATTTAAGGTATAATAACATCAACGCTAAAGACCGTCTTGGACTTACACCAGGCATGTAAAAAATGTGTAATAACCTGCTGTGAAGATATGTACAAAGAAATTGGCTTCTTAAAAACATCGGAAACAGCTCACCTGGTTGGTCAGTGCTAGGTTTGAAGAAAGGGAGTAACATAGTTATACAAAGGGAGAAAGTAAATATACGAGGTACGGTAAACCATTGCAACCACGTGAGTGAAAGCAGATATTTTAGAGTTTGCTGAGGGAGAGCAGGGGGACACTGGTTTGTACGGAACACTGTCGTGTACGAAACGAGTGTAACTCCCTCAAAAAAATCTTACTTAAGAGGCCTCAAAATCGTTTAGGTGACTGCGAGCATTAGCCCAAAATCAAACAGCCGATTTTTAACATAAAACTCAACGTGAATGTTTGCAGACGTCTTGGCGTTAGCATTCCATGGAGACAAACGTGCGCCAGCTATTGCGCAAGTTTCCAGAAGCCAGTTGATGGATGAAAAGTTACTAAGTTGGTTCACACAGGTTACAATTTATGTGCCACCTTCAGTAAGGTGGTTGTTCAGTGTACACATCATGATTAAAAGATCAAGATCAAACCCAATCTCCTCTTTTGTGTATTCATTGCTACCGAGGCAAGAGCTGGCACAATATCCCATATACATCAGAATAGCACGCGCACACATCAGCATGTCAGGCATCACCATACTACACATCAGAATGGCACCTGTACACATCGGCAGCAGTAGTGGCTTTGTGCGTTCTTGAGTATGCGGGATCCACATAGCCCACCGTTCCAAGCACTCGAGTGGACCCCATTGCAGTGCCCTCTCCCACATGCACCAGCCCGAAATCTGGCACTTACGCCTGGTAAGGACGAGCACGGAATGGCAAGGGACAGAGCAGTAGAGGAAGGGGGACAGCATGGTTGATCATGTGGGTTTTGAAAGCAATCAGCAGACCACAGCAACACTCATCATCATACTGATCAAATTCAAGTGGTATCTGTAAATTCCTGCTTATGGCACTCTGTAGACATGGGCACAACTCTGACCTGAGCCGAGCCAAGCTGAGCCGAGCCGGCTTCGAGCCAGGCTTGAACCGAGCCGAGTTGAGCCGAGCCAGAACGAGCCAGCTTCAGCAAAAGGCCGGCTTGGCTTGGTGAAGCGGGCTTCGAGCCAAAGCCAAGCCGGCCTGGCTCGGCTCGTTTTTGAAGCCTTGAGTCTGGCTGCTGGGGTTCTTGCGGCCCCAGCAGGCAGGGCTGATGGTGTGATGGTTGGACTAACAGGCTGATTAGCCGCGCAATGAGCATCCTCTAAGCAATCAAGGGGTAGGTTACCCTCTGTGTTAGCCTATTTTCGTACTGTAACAAAAATCTCCTAATGGGCAGTGGGAACAATGACACAATCAAGTGTAGCTTATTATTGAAACATGTCTTCCTAGTGTGGCCAATGCTCGTCAAACATGTCTTCCTATACCTCCTCAACCCCCGGCACCTCCACACCCTCCCTGTTCCAACCACGCCCGGGTGCAACTACGTCCTTGACTTGAGAGTCAAGCATGCACGCACGCTCTTGGCAGGGAGACTGTGGCGGCAGTGCCTGGTGATGAGGTTCCTACTTCGGCTGAAAACGCTTTTGAGGCGCCTCAAAAGAACTGGTGATGAGGTTCCTACTCCGGCTGAAAAAGCGCTCGCACGCTGCAGATGTAGCAAGCAAGGCGAGGTAGCCCCTCGCCATCGCCTGCAGCACTGCCACTGGGTACTCACTGTGCTCGCTGTGCAGCACTGCAGCACTGGGTGCTCACTGTGCTTGCGACCCACGCTACATATTTTTCTGGTTCTAATGCGCCGCTCACTCTAACGACACAAATTTCCATCGGTTATCTATAATCTGAATGTTGCGTTCTCCGATATAGAGTATCTATGTATCGTTTGTTTGTTTTTTTATTCCTTTTATCTCGCATAGCAAAAATCTATGTTCTCCAACTATGATGTGGTCGATAATGACGACAACATAATAGTTGAGCAACATGGAGTTTTTGTAACGGTCTTCTTTAATTTCTAAGAATGGTGAGAGAGGCTTGAATCATTCGCCGTCGATAATTACGGCGGAGAATGATATGAAACACAGCATCACTACCATATTCAAAGCATGTACAACACAACTGATCAAAACACACACATATACATGCAACAGCTCGGCTCATGAACAATACAATACAACAAAACGATTGCGAATGCAGTAAAACAAATGCATCAATGCGTTCGTGCCACAATAGAGATTGACATGCACGTTATGGGAAGAAGCTGTCAAATGTAACTTAGGTCGTTATTGTAGACTATACTGGATTGTGCCTCAGAGGGTACAACACCCTAGTCTATATACCCTTGTACTCACACATTCTAGTTCAATTATTCTTTCTGATATGGTATCATAGTAGGTTAGGTTCCCCCCTAGCCCACCCACGCTTCCGCCCCCTAGGCCCTAGCCACCGTCGTGCCCCGCTCCTAGCCGGCCCTCCTGGCCGTCACGCTCGTCCCTAGCCGCCCCCCTGGCCGTCGCGTCCGCCCCTAGCCGGCCCCCTGGCCGTCGCGCCCGTCCCTAGCCGGCCCCCTGGCCGTCGCGCCCGTCCCTAGCCGGCCCCCTGGCCGTCGCGCCCGTCCCTAGCCGGCCCCCTGGCCGTCGCGTCTGCCCCTAGCCGGCCCCCTGGCCGTCGCGTCCGTCCCTAGCCGGCCCCCTGGCCGTCGCACCCGTCCCTAGCCGCCCCCCTGGCCGTCGCGTCCGCCCCTAGCCGGCCCCTTGGCCGTCGTGCCCGTCCCTAGCCGGCCCCCTGGCCATCGCGCTCGTCCCTAGCCGCCCCCCCCACCCCTCCCCCCGCCCCCCCTCCCCCCCCCCCCCTGGCCGTCGTGCCCGTTTCCTGCCGTCCCACGGCCACCCCTAGCCGTCTCATGGCCGCCCCCTCGCCGTCGCGGCCGCCCCTAGCTGCTGTCGCTGCCGTCTCCAGTCGCCTCACAGTCACTCCTGCCATCGCAGCCGCCCCTAGCCGCCGTCGCGGCTGTCCCCGGCCGCCGTCGCGGCCGTGTCTCCTCGCCGTCGTGACTGGCCCTACTCGCCGTCGCGCCAGCTCCTCGCCAGCCCCCGTTGCCGCCGTTTGCTGGCCCCTCGCGTCTGCCGTCCGCCGACCGGCTCCTGCATTCGCGTCGTCGCCAGCCCGCCGCCGCCTCGGGTTCGGCCCGTTCCTCCCGATCAGCACTGCCCTGCGAACACCCCCGGTACCGTACTAGACCGCCTTGCACTGCACTGCACCGCACTGTACCGCACTGCACCGCACTGCATCGCACCGCACCGCACTGCACCGCACTATACCGCACTGCGCCGCACTGCACCGCACTGTACTGCTCTCCACTGCCCTCTATTGTCACTGATGGCGGATGTGCTTCGCTTTGACGCTGAGGGCCAGCCAATTGAGTTTGATGCGTGGCTTGCTGACCTCCGTCGCCACCTCACTGGTCAGCGGCACGATGGCCACTCGCTGTCTGTCCATGTTGACGGTACCCTCCCCTGCCCTGACCCCCCCGCTGCACTGTCTACTAATCCCTCGTCCGCTGAGCGTGAGTCCGCTACGGCTGCTGCCCTTGCTCGCTCTGTCTGGCTGTCTCGTGACGCTGTAGCACAGCTTGCCATTAGCAATGCCCTCCCCCTGTCCGAGCGACCTCGCTTCAGGTCTATCACCACTGCCCAGGCTTTCCTAGATGCTGTTGTCCAGCGCTATTCCACCCCGCCTGCTGCCTCGGTTGGTCGTCTGATCCTCCCCATGCTCTTCCCTGACCTTGCGTCGTTCCCCACTGTCGCCGACCTGGCCGCTCACCTGCGCATTATAGACGAGACCTGGCGTGCTGCCTGCACTCCCACACAGCATCTAGCCCACCAGCCGCCCCTCACCTCTACTCTCTACCTGCTAGCCACCCGCCTCCC